TCTGTCTGTCTGTCTGTCTGTCTGTCTGTCTGTCTGTCTGTCTGTCTGTCTGTCTGTCTGTCTGTCTGTCTGTCTGTCTGTCTGTCTGTCTGTCTATCTATCTATCTATCTATCTATCTATCTGTCTGTCTGTCTGTCTGTCTGTCTGTCTGTCTATCTGTCTGTCCACCCTCATCAAATCTCTTAATCTGCATAAAATGTTGTCAGTCATGAAAATACCTTATTTACTGTTTGAATAAAGATCAAAATTTGTTAAATGGGTTTGCTTGCATCTTTGCATGAGTCTGTTTGGTTGGAACATTGGCATTAACTGTTGGAGTTAACCCTGTTTGTTATTATTAGCATCTATTTAGCCAAGGGATTGGTTTTTATCATTTTTCCTCAGTTGCTTTGGTGCAGTTCTTGAATAATTTTCAACATTTTCAAAACAGTAAGAGCAATTCTCAAAACAATTGGTACAGTTAAACACCATGGATTACCTGCAAAAACCAGTGTATTGCTCAGAATAATTTTTAGATTAGATCTAGATAAAMTGAATGACCCTAACCTTATCCTGAGTAACAATCAATATGGAAATATTGGAAGAGATGTGTGCCGCTTATCAAAAACAGTTTTGTGTTAGCGACCACAACATTCTTATGACATTATTAAAATTTTATGATTTAGYTGATTATAATATCTTACAAGTATAYATAAAGCTGTATAAGGCTCACAAAAACATATCTTTAAACATCCAGTCAAAATCTGATAAGAGAAAATTGCTATAACCTTAAAATATTTGTAATGTTTTAACCAATTTTGAACCAGTTTAAGAGAAAGAAGTACTTCAATTCAAGGAATATGACTATAGAATAATCTTGAGATTGATGCTATAGCTGGAAAAGTTTGTATATTTAACAGAATGATAAAGGTTAGAATGTTGAAAAACTAATACATAAGTGTGTCTTGAGAAATTTCTGTTTCGGGAAGGACCAATAGTGATTTTTGTTTGAATTTAATATTTGCAGAAAAAAGGGGGCAGATGTAATTTTTTTTCTTTCTGCTTCCTTTCATTTCATTTATGACTTGTGTTTTTGTTTTTATTGTAAATATATTTCTTTTCATGCTTAAATAAATAAATAAATAAATAAATAAATAAATAAATAAATAAATAAATAAATGTGAACATAGGACAACCTCAAGCAAAACTGTACATGCAGTGCTGTAGGAATTACAGTGCGGTCTTCCAACACCTTCTGACATTTCTGTCTGTAGGGCCACAGTCTCATCCACATCACAACATCTTTTGCAAGGCAGCGTGGAAAGAATCATTTAGAGTCCTTGTCTCTTCAGGCATCTGCTGTGATGTCTTTACACCCTGCATCTATGGCAGCCAGAAGGCTCACCTGTGTGTGTGGTTGGAAATCGTATATTTTCCATCTCCATGCTGAGAAAAATGCCTCAATGGCTTTTAAGAAATRGAGAGTAGGGTGAGAGGAACTCCCTCAACATCCTGTTTTGGGTCACAAATCATTGCCTGATGATGTTAGAGTGATGAAAATTGACAGTCCCAAACTATCATGTTCTTTAGCAAGTCACCTCCAGTTTGACTCCTCTAAAAAGGTGACAAAATGTTCTGTATTATAGAAGTCAGCATTCACCTAACGGCAATTTACCCATTCAGGACAAATTAAGAAAAATAGTCCAATGAAGATGTATAGAACTTTGACATATGAGAACTTGTTCAACTATTTTCAGAATCAGAAGCATTTATTGTCATTCACACATAGGGCTGCCACAAACTATTATTTTTATTATTGATTAATCACTGATTTTTTATGACTAACCGACTAATTGGATCATASGTTAATTGAATATAAAACATTCAGCTTATCGAGCCAGAAGGCAGCTTCTATTATATAACCATCGTTAGATTTTAACTATGTGCTAACTAAAAATAATTGCCATATAGGCAAGTTCTATCTTGCAGACATTGCATTGCACAGGTTTCTCTTTCATTTTCTTAAAATGATCCCACCCTTTTGAGCTCCATTGCCAGGTAGCCATGATACCAGAGTCTGTCTGTATAATGTCTTGTGACGTCCACGGCCTACCCCAGTTACCACTACTGCACATGTGTGTCAAGGACAGAAAGGCAGATGTGGCAGTGGAAGGTGTCAAAGCAGTGTACACTGCACAATCCTGCGGCTGAAAAAACCAAACTAAAAAAATAAGCCCCTGACCATCAAACTAGACAGATGTTTGTGCTGATGTATTTGATTGTTGCTAAACATGGTGAAGTACATTGTGGCCACACTTCTTTTCTTTGGTCTCACCTGCCCAAAGGACTTGTTGTAGATCTTGTAACAAAATTGTACAAACTTCTGTTTGCTCCCTTGTTTATTTTATTTAAATTTTTTAATTATTATTTAAAACGAATAGACTTTTTCTCCCCTGCAATTCTTCCAAACAAGCCAAACTTGTTTTTCTAACTGCCTGTCATGAGTTTTTATCTTTCACCTTCCAACCAAAGCCTGTAGAGTCTGAGATTGTTTTTTTTTTTTATTTGGCCATTGCTTTGATCTTTGCACAGTCTGACCTCAGGGTGAATTTGATTGACATGTGTCTTTTGTTTCCTGTTACAAAAGGATAGACTTCAAATTGTTAATTATGATATTTAATCYTTTCCCAGCTTGATGGGCAAAAACAGCTGCTTCTCGAGTTAGAGAGCAGCAGACTGAAAAAACCCTGCTTTAATAGAGTTGCTCATATGAGATCAGTTGATCAGTTTGATTGATCAGCAGCACCTGCTGATGCTGAACCTCTTACATCCTTTGAAAGCAGCAGATGTAAACTTAAATTTTCCACTCAGCTTTTTATTTTGGCTTAATTTTTGTTTAACAAATAATGCCAGAATCTGTTGCGTGTGTTTTAACCCTTGCAGTTAGATTAGATAATATTAGAATATGGTAAAGACCAGAACATTTTATTATGTCCCGTGTGCCAACTTTTTTTCCTCCTCGAAACTTCCCCGAAATAAAACTCTGCGCCAATCACGGGGCAGCACTCCCTGGATGCCGTCACTCCCTCGCTTCCCATTGGCTCACAACTGACATTAGGATTCCAGCTGTTTCAGCCTCGCTCCCACCCTCCTCARGGAAACTCAAACTGACATCAAGCTCCAACCAGCAGGGAGGGACCACCGGATCGCCGCCGCTCTGTGATTGGCTCAGAGAGGGCCGCGCGCCGGGCACAAAAAGGGAGGGGGCAAGAAGTTTTAGGATCCCCTCCTCCAACCCTCCACCCACCCCATCCAGCTGTGAGAGGAGGTTGGGCTGATGGACGGAACCTGGCGGATGCAGGCTTTTAGGGAGACCAGGGCTGGAGCGCACGGGCGCYTTTCCTGAGCAACAATAGAAAAGGAGGAAGAACAGGAGAGGAAGAGGAGGAGGAGGACCTCGGGTGTTGACGCCTGCTCGTGCGCAACGACGGAGATGCGCTGCAGCATCTTCATGAATTATTAACTCCAACAATAAGTCCGAGGGTAGATCTGCGGCTATGGAGGCAGGGATAAGTAGCGGATTTCTTCCTAGGATGAGGAGAGGCAGCGAGGACCAGAGCGGGMAGCGCTTCTGTTTCTTGCCTTTTTAAGCTTTTGTCCATCTGCTCCGAACCGGAGGGGGGGATTTACCGAGAAGTTAACGACCTCATTCTGACAACAGGCTGAGCGCAAATCTCTCAGTTATTATTATTATTATTATTATTATTATTACCACGGAGATGAAAATAAAGTGTTTTTGAGGCCCCTAAAGAGGCTCCTCGAATCCCGGAGACAGGAGAGGGGGGACCCGGGCGCACCGCGAAGACGCAGCAGCGTACCACCTGGAAACTACAGTCCGCACCAGAAGAAAGAAGGAGAGGGTCTCCACTTTTCTCCCCGCTCCTCCTTTTTATTTTGTTTTTGTCCAACAAATCGAGTTATTTTTATTTATTTAACCTATTTTCTGGCTGCTGCGGTCTTTATAGCCCCGACAAAAACTGACCATGCAGTGACTGAGCGCGCTTTGGACACATCTACGAAGTCCWTTACAGGTAAGAAATCGACCAGAAGTTTTTATTTTAAAGAAATGTTGTCTRTAAATCCCTTCAACAGTAATCTCATGAGTAGGACGTTTAGAACCAAAAAGGCTGCTGGCATTTCTTCTGCGTTTTGTTTCTGCTGAAAGGAATGTAGTCCTGCTAAGTGATTTTTTTCTTTCTTTTTTTAGCCTCATTAGGAAGCATTTTATTTCTCTGCGCAGATGAGTCTTTATGAATTCAGTGTATTCCCTTAAACCACATTCATCTGGAATAACTCTTTCCTAACTATGTTTATGCGAGCATTTATTGTGTTATGAGTGCGCATATTTTCCAAAAATAACCGCATCACCACCTCCCTGCTCTTTAGTCTCCACATAATTAGATTTGATTTCTTGATGTGCTGCATTTTTTTCTTTTACAAGATTGATTTTTTCCCCCTTTTTATTTATTTATTTTTCTCAAACTCAACAGATTTAAGGTTTTAACACCATATGACCGCGTGTCGTCCTGCAGGAGCTGAGTGATGGCCGAGGATGGGGGGATAAATCTCTCCGGGGCCCCCGACGTTGGGGGCTCGGAGGGTCGCTCCTCTTTGCCGAGGACTTTCATCCGGCTCAACGACCTGTCTGGGCTGGGGGCTGGAGGCGCGGGGGATCTGGTGATGATGGAGTCCCCTGCGCCCGACGGGATCTCTGCGGCTGGGGACGAGGGTTCGACGCACGGCGGGGAGAGCCTGCCCTACCCGACGTTGGCCCCCGTGGTTTTCTTCTACATGAAACAAACCACGAGGCCGCGCAGCTGGTGTCTGAAAATGGTCTGCAACCCATATCCTTTTATTTGTTTATTGTAAGCCCATGAGATGAGAGTCTGCTCATGCGGACGTGGTGACTTCCTCCCACCTGCGACAGGTAGGAAACTTCCTTCTGTTCGGCTTTTCCAGGTGACCTCAGGGGTGGTGATGGGGCATCTCTGTTGTTGGATTCTTTGTAATGACTCTGGTTTTAAAAAAGTGTCACTCAGGTGTTGGGTGCCTTGTGCCTCCATGCTCAGTCTGTTATTGTTCTGATTGTTTATAAGGAGACAAAAGGGTCTGTGTTATAATTAGCTCAGATTCAGACCTGGACGGTGTGTTTACTGAGTCTTTTGGGGGGTTAATACCAGCAGAGCAGTGCAGTCTATTGGAGGCCGATTGAATCATTCCTGCTGCTGAGGTGCATTATTGATTCACAAGAGTTAGAACCTTCACTAATGCAGAGAACAAGAAGGAAGGCAATGATGACGCTTTGTTCGGATGATTTCAGACAGCAATGGGAACGTCCCTCAATTACCTTTGCTTCTCTTCCTGTCTACCTGCCCTCCGTGCATTCTCTGTCCCATCAATCCATCCATCACTCCATCCAATCCTCTCTGCCTCATCAACTGCATTACATCCTATCACCTCTTTGCCTCTCCTTGTTTGTCACAGCTTTAATTGAGACGCGGTCAGGCTGTTCTTTTCAAACTCCTTCCAGGATATTGGCAGCAGTTACTGATGGTCACGTTGTTACACGTTCACTCCCTGTCTTCTTTTCTTTTGCATTTCTTTTTATTTCCCTTTTGTGCTCTAGCTCMGAGCCCCAGTGATCGCAGCTGATTTCCATGTCTGTAAATGTCAAATGTTTAAAGGTCCTTCATGGGGGCCTGGTGGCTCCACAGGGAGCAAAGAGGCGATCTATAATACTTTTATCTGAGTCTGGAATGATCAAACATTTATTTTTGAGGTGAGAAGCTCACACAGAGGATTTTGTGTCAAAACAATTCATTACTTTAAAGCTACAGTATCTTCAACACATCTGATTTTAGTTTTAAATCACATTAGGTGGGAAATACACACTCTAAAAATGAAATGTTGGATTTACTTAACCATGTTACAGTATGTTACCTGGTTCCACTTAACTGAGTTGAGTAAATTCAAAGCAACATACTCATGTTCTTTGGTTAAAAAACGGGTATATTGCTTTGAACTTATTCAACTAAGTTAAGTGGAACAAGGTAACATAACATGGTTAAGTAAATCCAACATTTCATTTTTTACAGTGCAGTTTTTTACCTGAAATGAGATGGAGTGATATGATTGGGCAGGATGGATTAGGATCTTTGAAGATGATATCATGATCTGTAGAGAGAGTAGAGAGGAGGAGGAAGAGTGTCTGGAGAGGTGGAGTATGCTTTGTAGAGAGAAGGAATGAAAATTAATTGAATGGAGACAGAAAGTGTGACAGGTGTTGAGGGTGGATGGGTTTCAGTGCCYGAGGGGCCAGAGGTGGGAAAGGAACTAAAATAACGTACTCAAGTAATATTACAGTCACTCAGTTRAAATTTTACTGAAGTACAAGTAAATGTACCTGTGTAAAATCCACTCAAATAAAAGAAAATTATTAAAAATAMTTTAAGTAAAAGTTACTTASTTACTGTTTCACAGTAGGAGGAGGTCTTTTACGTATGATGCACCGAGTACCAAAGTTATCAAAACACGAAGCTTTAGAGTTACCAAAAGAGCAAACATGCATGTTTTTGATCAGTGTGAGGACACTGGAGTCTCCAGAGAAAACTCACTTGTGCCTCCTTCCAGATTAAGATTACAGTTCATTCTTGTAGCTCACACACTTAAGATGGCATAAACTGTATGCTCAATCAGTGGATCACCAGACAGCTGGACTACAAAGTGAAGGCAACAGAACTGTGGCAGGCCATTTTAACGTGAAATTGGCTTTGTTTGACTATCTGTAATTACATTCTAGATCATTTAAAATGAGTTTTGATTGAGGACAACTACATTTTGACCATTTAGAATGGTAATTTAAGATATATTTTACATTCTGACTATAGTCAGAAGAACAATTCAAGATATCTTAAAAAGAACTTTGACTGGTCAAAATGCCTTTCAAAATATCTAAAATGACAAAACCTGATTTGTTATTTGAAGGGTCAAAAATCTGCAATTACAGTTCAGAATATCACAAATGTAATTTGGACCAGTCAAAATTACATTTTTAGATGTCTGAATTAACTTCCACTGAAAAACAAATTAAGGTAAGGCTAGTGGCTCAGTAAGGCAAAATGCCTTCGAAATTTTTTGCCAAAATGCTACTTTCCTCCTAACCAGATGCCCGAGCCACCTCAACTGACACTTSTCGATGTGGAGGAGCAGTGGCTCTAYGCTGAGTCCCTCCCGGAGCCATGTGTGTCATAGTATTGAGGTTGAATTATAATTTGGACTTTCAGTCAAAATCTGAAACAATTGCTCTTAAAAGGAAACTGAAGAAGGGACTCCACTTATACATTTTATACTGTATATATAATTCTAATTCTGCATTTGTTTTCTGGTTCTTGATTCGCGCTGAAGTTACTGAAGACAAATTCGTCCAGCTGGTCATAAAATAAATGTGGTCGGCCCCTCTACTACTTAGCTTACGAAATGTATGGTGGGGGGGGAAAAAAGCCATGGACTTTTTTTACACAGATCTCTCTCTCTCTCTCTCTCTCTCTCTCTCTCTCTCTCTCTCTCTCTCTCTCTCTCTCTCT